GTAAATTTGTTGACGTTAATAGTAAGCTTTCTTTATTTTACACTAAATTTTTATTAAATGTGGTGTAAAAGGATCATGACACTAGTGCATAAAGAGGAATTTATACCCGTCAAATAAAGTAAAGAGTCAATCATATCTCGATACTTTGTTATATCAATAGGAACACCCAATTTGTCTTGATCAACATATGTTCCATAACCTATATGAGTAGACATCTCTTTGCAATTGTCCATATCAAATTTCTTTAACGGTTCCTTGCAATACTTAGATTGGTTGATGAAGATGTTATTCTTTAATTGCTTAATTAAAGTCTAAGAAAATAGTTCATCTTATCCATCATGGACATCTCGAATTCTCCTTGCATTATCATTGATAATTTTTCACATATGTCTTTATTTGTTGATCTGAATATGATATCGTCAACGTAAATTTGCACTAATAAGATATGACCTTTGATTTTCTTAATAGATATTGCAGTATCAACCTTACTTTTTTCAAATTCTCTTTCGCAAACACTACTACAAATAATACATTTCATGACAAAATTTTCACCTCATCCAAAAAAATTGAGGTATAATCCCAAGACGCACCATATTTTATTTTATTTTTAAAATAAAAACAACATATTCCATCAGTTTTTAATATCTCTGAGGGTAAAAACAATTTAGGACATGCTTCGAATCCTAACTATTGTAGTTTATATTTTTATTTCGTTATAAGTGTAAACTAAATTATCTATCCATTCAGTTTCCTTAATAATCGAAGGATAAAATAATCAGATATTACTATAAAACAACTTGTTAAACAAATTTTACCTTAAAACTAACTTATACGTAGACGCCCCAAACTCGTATGCATCATTTTTGTGGGATGGATTTCAATACATAAAAAATATTCAATGTTCTTCGATCTTGAACGAAATATTTTTTCTGCTCTTACAATCTATCTCATCTAATGGTGTTGTTGTTGTTGTTGTTGTTGTATTTTTAGAGTAACTTTCATATATTGTCAATCAAAGAAAACAATGTTGTTTTCCTTGGTTGACAATATTGAGAAATTTATTCTTAAACATGTTCTAAATTGCACACAAAAAATGTTGACTGATAACAAATTGAAATGAAAATATGACATGTTACTTTCAATTTTTTTTATCATTTATCATTTTTTTCTTGAAACTTATTACCTTGTTTTTTTTCTAAAACTAAGGAGTTTACTTATTTTATTTTTCTATTTAAAAAAGAAAGTATGTTTCTCTTTGGTTTTTTTAACAAAATCAACGAGATATGTTACACAGCTACAATAATGAATCTTTACCATACATTCATAAAGGAGCAACGCTCAAGATATTGTCAAGACATCAATCCACAATAAACTATCTACACCCACCACTATATATCTTTCTTGTGAAAGCATTTGCCATGAAAACATTTGCTTAAGATAATGAAAACTTAGAACTTAAAGAAGTTTGGAAAAGTTCTCTATGATGGGTTGCAAATGCAGAAAAAAATATTTTCAATGGTTGGAAAAGATAACTCCATAGTTGAAACATATAACTCTTTAGAAGTTGGATGCATGCAATACATATAACTTTAAAAGAATGAGCATAAAATGTATCTAACAAAATCTTGATTACAACAAATATGTGCTGTTCTCCAAAAATAACAGCTACTATGATAACATTGAATTTGTTGTAATAATTTAATTTAATATTATGTGTAAATAATATAATATTAAAAAAAGTTCATTCACCTCGGTTTACTACTGAAATTGAGGGTAAAAACATTTTACCTCGGCTTTTGTCAAAAATCGAGGGTATAATTTTGTCGTGATTATTGAGGATATTGATCTTTGTCCTTAAACAAATCTTTGTCGTCCATTTTATGAGTATCAGCGCTCAAGACACTTCTATTAGTGGTCATCGTGAAATCAAACAGACATTCATTATAAAAGCATTCTGAATATTAATAATTGCTAATGAAACATATAACTTGAAAACTTTTAAGCATAAAATTTTTGGTAAAGTTCTCTATGATGGATTGCAAGAGCAGAAAATAAATTAGGTTTCAGGTTTGTTTTCTTCAATAATTATATTTTTTTTACGGTGTTCTTCAATAATCATATATTTATTTTATTTAACTTACATTTTTCTTGTTTTACATCATAAACAAATAAATGAAAAAGGGATCTAGAATATATTGCACCCAACATTTTCTCTTCTCCGATATTTCAATGAAACGATGATCCAACATCTGATCTTCACTAATAATGATAATGATGAATCATATTCGAAATTTGTTATATTCGGTGTAATGTAATATTCTGGGTAAATAATTAATTTATTGATATTAGGTAGTTTGTAACGGGTTTAAAAAAATAATTTATCTTACCCCTTGATTCTAATGATAAACTGAGAGGTATGATGCGTTAGTTTTGAAAATATTAAAAGTGTAGAAGTTGGGGTTCAAAATCATGTGTATATGAATTTTCCCATCGGTGTTTTAAAAATCGAGGGGTAATGTGGAAACTTTTCATGACGTCCTTCGTTACATCGTTTCAGTAACCGAGGTTAGATGCATTTCATGTCCGAGGTGAAATGAGTTTTTTTTGTAGTAGTGAAAGAAAGTTGCTACGTCTATCACACTAAGCCCTTGGTGCTTGATTTAATCCATAAAGAGTCTTCCTCAACTTATAGACATGTGAAATATTTTTGAAGTCTTCAAAACCGAGAAGTTGTTTGACATAGATTTTTTCGTTGATGTATCTGTCCAAGAAGGCACTATTGACATCCATTTGAAATAACTTGAAATTTAATGAACAAGCATATACAAGTAATAAACAAATAGCTTCTAACTTGCAATCGAAGAAAATGTTTCTTCAAAGTCGATTCTCTCTTCTTGATTATATCCTCGGGCCACCAATATTGCCTTGTTTCGAACAATTATATCATTCTCATCAAGTTTATTCTTAAACACTCATTTGGTACCGTTGTACACCAAAATTTGCTCTATCTTTTCTCAAGACATTTCTCACCAAATTTTTTTCAATGACCCAAGCTTGCACAAGTGTTGACTAGGTCAGATCATCTCCTAAGCACTGAGGCCACAAATTAAGGTTTTTGACTGAAGTTGACTGATCATTGACTTTTGACCTAATACATAATCTAATGGTTTGAAACATAATCTCGAGGAATCAAACACGACACGTTGACCTAATTTCATGACTAAAATCATTTCTCAAGATAAAAAGATTGATAGTTAAATTTTTGATCACCTGATGAAAAGTCAACTAATACACAAAAAGTCAAACTTTAACTTTTTGGTCAACATTGAATTTCAAAAAATCAAAATTCATCAAGACATTCAAGAACATCAAACTTGGTCAACAAGAATCAAGAAAGTTAACAAAAAGTCAAGATTTTCAATACTTAGAAAATTTCTAAATATTTTTAACCTTGATAATTTCGTTATTTCATGACAATTTTTCACCAAGATGCAAAATGATTCAAAGAAAACTTTCAACATGAAAGTTATAGATCTTGATGAATTCTATAACTTTGTATTAGAGGGTTGATTTCCAAAAAATGCTTAGGTTTGAAGATATAGGCTCATGAAGTCATGACATTTTTGTATAAACACTTAGAGAAATTTTCAACATGTTTGACCAGGTTTTTGTCCCAACATCTTGGCCATTTTTCATCAAGTTCCAATTGGATTTAGGAAAAATGGTCAACATGAAAGTTGTAGACAATGTTTCAAGCTTTCCAAAACATCCAAGAACATGAATTTATCATACTTGGGCTAGGAGATTCAAAGGCATGAAGTTGGGGATCCATTCTTGAATTACAAGTCATTTTGGTGAAGAACACATAATCCGATCTATATGCTATGTTGCATAATCTTGTGTTGAAGGCCTTCTAACTTGAAAATCTCACCATAATTTAATGTTCACACAAACTTTTGAGCTATGGTCCATTTGATTTAAGCATTGTCCAATGGATCTTTCCATTTTTGGCACAAAGTTAACATTGCCATTCTTACAAAGTAGCTTTAATCACAAAGTCAACTCTTCTTGAGTCTCTAACTTGCACTACAAGAAAAATGATAGATTGGGACGGTTATTTTGGCTGATTACGACGGTTAAAACCGTCGCAATTTACAATCTACGACGGTAGAAGTACCGTCGCAGAATCGTGCGTCCCCAGCCTATTTCGCGACGGTTGCAAAAACTGTCACGCACAACAGATGGCGACGGTTATATACCGTCGTGAATTTGACTTTATTTTTTGTTTTTGTTGTTGTTTGCGACGGTTATATACCGTCGTGAACTTGACTTTATTTTTTGTTGTTGTTGTTTGCGACGGTTATATACCGTCGTGAATTTGACTTTAACCGTCGTAATCTAATTTATAAATTTCAAATAATATTTTTATTTAAATTATTATTTAGTAAAATAATTTTAAATATAATATTATTTTACTATAATATTTTACTATTATATTTAAATTATTATTTTACTATAATATTTTACTATTATATTATATTTTTATATTATTTGAATTGATCGATGAAGCTCCAGCTTGGAGGAATAGAAGCAAGCAATTAGTTGTTATGCAATGTACTCATACTCCTTCATGTAATATTAACATCAACCATGAAACTCAATCACTGTCATACAGGTTAACATAAACAATAATAATTGAAAGCATGTATTTAAAAAAAATGTGAGCAATAATCACTTACAAAATAAAGAAGAATGCAAACAACCCCGATGAAAATGTAAGCAGCGCAAAATTGAATCTGTAACCTTGATAAAGGCCAAATCTAGCGATTAGAGTTCCTATGTTATAACTGATACAAATTAAACGAAAAGACTCGAATTTCAATAACACTTACTACAAATATTTCACTCACATGTGTAGTAGTGTAAATAAAACAACAAACATTAAAATTGTCATTTGTTAGGTGCCATCATCACAATACCCTATAAGACCAGTCAAGTATTTATGATGAACTATAGCAAAACATTTGGCCTTGAGGTGTCTGATAACCTTGTCCATAACCTTGTTGAGGATGTCCTGCCTGCTGATAAGGTGTCTGATGTCCATAATCCTGGCCCTGAGGCTGTCCATAATTGTAATTCATCTGTGCTGGGGATGGGCCCATGGAGGGTAAAGGAGAAGGTCCGGTACCATGTTGGGGAACTGAACTGGGATGTTGGGCAGATGATGGAGCCTCAGATGAATGACCCCCTTGTCCGCCATAATAATCATAACCACCATTATGTGAGGGTGGCCCCTGTATACTCTGGTGAGGCCTTTGCTCCCAACCAGAACCATAGCTGCTCCTTGGAGCCATATGTTGAGGATAATTTCCATAAGGAGTAGGAGCATATGATTGATTGTGAGAAGGATATGGCCCGCGGTGTTGATAGTCATATGATTGCTGATGGCCATAATGTGAGCTTCGCTGACCCCATTGAGGTGGACCACCAGATCCTCTAGGTGGACGGTAAGCCTGCTGGCCAAAACCACCTGTTGATGACCTGATAGGCTATAAAAGCACAGCATACAAAAATAAGTAAATAGGAAAAAATAATAATAACCAGAATCATATCAGAATAAGTTGACTAAGCCAAAATAGAAAAGATGCAGCTATTGCGATCCAATTAAATATTAAAATCTGGTTGCCATGATAGCCAAGAGAAAATATTTGTCATGATATAAATCAGGTTAAAGGACACACTCCTCCAAAAACAGTAAGAAGGTAAAAACAAATTTCTCAGGACAATTTCAGAAGTATATAACATTACATATGTGGCATGTTAAGACTGTGTAATCAAAACTTCTGCTGAATGACAAGTGGCAAAATAACAAGCACCAAGCTGTCATGATAATGTGTAGCATGTCATATCTCAAAGCTCAGCTATGGTAGGTGATGGAGTAAACAGCTATACAAAAAAAATTGTTTGATATTATCACAGTAAAAATACATCACCTTAGCAAATACAGGAAAGTGAAAAAAAGGCCGATAATGCAAAAGCAAAACTAAGAATGATTATAAGCTAAGTTTCAATCAATCAATTTCACAATAACTAGACATGCACATCATCGTAAGGACTATTCCACCAAACAGGGCACACTCGGCATGCACTCATCAAATACTTTAATATATATATAGGTACAGCTAACCATAACTAACTCTCTTATGTCAGTTACAACAGCTGGCTACAGCTGGCAAGCTTAACTCTAGCACATGTCTAAAAGCTAACTAATGCAATAACCAACTGACTAATCTAACAAGAGTGATTCCAAGTGAAAATTGATTGAAATGAGTGAAGGGTGGTTAACTGACTGACGGCTGTCAAGCAGCTAGTTACAAGGAAGCTAAAACAGTTATAGTTGATTACACTACAGGTGTTTTATATTATGAGGGAGACTCTATACAAGCTCTCATGAGCTTGAGTTAAGTTATATTAGCTTTATGCTTTCTTGTACAAGAATGAAAGCTCTGCTATGTCAGTGTTTATATTACGAAAGAAATGAAGTATTGATACTTGAGAGTTAGAAATCAACACAAAGCCTATTGAAATCAACACAAAGCCTATTGAAATCAACACAAAGCCAGCTCAGTTATCTTCCATTCTTTCATATTTCGGAATATATCATGTTGGTCACAATCTTATTGCTCTATATCTATAATAGGGTTAGTCCAAATATTTGGTATGAAAGGAGAGCAAATTACTAAGTAAAATTTGGATAAGGGTTAATTTATGCTCACCTCTAAGACGTTGTAGATCACATACAGTTTGATTGTTGCTTGACCACGGATTATATGATATATGAAGCTGATATCTAAAACAACAAAAAATTAGGAGTGGTGAGCATAACACCAATTTCAGCATAAGAAACAACCTGATAATTCAAAACAGAAATATGTATATGGAACTAAACCTATTTGCTGCAAAACAGTGATTCCACAAGCCATAATAATAAAATAGCCAAAATCCGACAATTCAACTGGAGACAGCCTCTTGAACTTCCTGCCATGAGCATGACGAGGTCATGTTGATAGTATTAAATTAAATAATTAAACTGAAATCATGAATCACCACCAAATTTTTTAAACATGAGAATTAGTAGAAGAGCCAACAAATCAAAGCACATGAATTAGCAGACCATATCATTAAGTATGTGATAGATTCAACTTTTTTGGTAAACACAAAATCAGGGTAGATTGTCTCATTAAACCAATCTAAATCCTTTTTACGAGTCAACAAAAACGAACCATGTTCAATTTCCTTCGTAAATTTAATACAATTTTGGAAATTGAATACAAAATTGAACTAAATGCTCACAGCTCAAGTGAAAACTCTAAACTAAACAAAAAGATGCAAAGGGATAAGTATATCATCTAAATCCTAACAGGTGCACTGAATGACATCAAAGTATTATGACAGATCATGAAGAAAGGTGGCAAACCTTGTTTTCAGAAGCTTCCAAACGATCATTACCACCCTTGTTGGCATCACAGTTAACAATGACAGAAAGGAATTGAAACAGACAAAGAAGCCAACATCAATAAGCTGCAAATGAATTCAGCACTTGAGATACCATGACATAAAAAGTAGAATGCATAAACAGAAATACACAAACACAATTCTTAAGTAACTATTTCACAGTAAATGAATAGCTTCGGGTTACATCCTTCCCCCAAAACGCCTACATTATAACAGCGTAGTTTGGACCGTAACCCATTAGAATTGCACCAATGATGAAGAGTATAGAGGCTAAGAAGATTGTGTATCGACGACCAATGACATCAGAAGTTCTTCCAGCTGTTAAGGATCCAACTAATGCACATACATTTAAGATTCCTGCTAGAATTTCTTGTTGTGTGTCACTGATTCCCAAATCCTCTTTTATGAAAATCATTGCTCCACTCATAACACCGGTATCTGAAATTAATCATCAATGTAGAATAGTTATTATAAAAAAATGACTCGATATAAATGATTGAATAATACATACATGACTACTAAATTCACGAATAGTCAATTAGTAGTCACACACCTTACATTTTACATAAAATATAATAAGATATATTAGAAAACCTCTCTTCAATTTTGTTGGATAGGGAAATGAAATTAAAAAAAAAGTGAAAAAGATTAGAGAATGTGATAATATTACCATAGCCAGAGACAATGGAAACCATTGAAGCAACAAGGGCACAAGCCAAAGCATATTTGTTCAATGATGTGTTTTGAACTTCTTTGTCACCTTGATCAATTATCATGATGATGATGATATTGTTAATGGTTTTCGGCAGTTTCCTCCGCGGCTCATAATGAATCGACAACGCATCTTCTTCGACGCTTCACCATGAAGAGTAACAATCCGCATCCTAAACCTTTATGCGTCATCGATCGTTTTCATCAACTGCAAACAGAAACAGAATCGACCGGATTCCGCCGAACTCATAAAAGAAGATATGGAAAAACAAGTAAGAAAGAAGAAGTAACGATACCTTTGAATCTTTCGTCGCCGAGAATCATCTTTACAACCGTCTTTGAATCCGTTGAGATCGGTTGTCTAACACTCTTCTTCCCATCCGTTCATGGTGTCGAGATGCAATTCTTGCTTCGCTGGGGTTTGCGTTTGAGCGTAGATAAAAGGAATGAAATGTCTGCTTAGATGAAAAGGGATGAAGCCCCGGGAATCGCCTGCTGAAACTCCTTCTCTGCCATTTAATTGCGTCTTGAAGCTCCTAAGGTTTATCAACAGAATAATTCAATCAGCTACGTATTATTCCAAACCCAATTGAAACTCCATGACATAAGGTGTGTTTAAGTCCCTTACCACTCTGAACAACCACATATTGGCAAAATCCAAGGCCTTTTGTTGTTTTTCATATGATAATACACTCTAATGAGCTAACGAGTAAAGTTCATAACAAAATTTTCATTTAAATCATTAAAAGCAGTAATGCGTTCCTTTTACCTGCAAAAGGATGACACAGTTAAGCTTTCACATAGTGTGATGCTTTGCCTGGTTGGAATCACACCCATGTTGTAACTGTCATATTAAATAAAAGAGTGAGTTAATGAAACAGATATGTGTAAACTGTAACTGACTCAACATTTATGTTTTCCTTCTTTGTTTCAAACTAATACCAACTACCAAGAGTGAAGAAACAAAAGGAGTAGTCACTAAAATAGGACAATCATCGCACTCGAAATGGTAGGTCTAACTCATACTTCTCGGCACTAAGCTACATCCATGTAGTTATGAACTATCCTGGACAAACATTTAAGCTATCTAACAGTCATGAACTCATGGTCATCGTGATGAGAGAACCAAAGGGCTATGAAGCACGGAAACTGTTTCAATTATGTCTAACAAAACCATATAAGCCACAAAACTTTGGGTCCACTAGAAAAAAATGGCTAAATCACAAAATCACTAAAATCCAACGCAATGAATTAAACAACTTAGAATTCAAAACCAAAATCACCATATTCAGAAAAAATGAAAAACAACAATCAAATCATGAAGAACATTACAACCGAATCATAAAAATAAAAAAACAATTGAAAAAATGAATGCTTCGCACCTTATGAAACGAAAGGTTACCGGCAAAATTACTGGCGAGAGTCTTGACTCTATCGATGGACTTACCAGAAAAATTATCGAGGTTATCAACAACAATGACTTTGTAACCGGCAAGAAGAAGCTGGAGAACGGTGTGGGTGACGATATAACTGGCACCGCCGGTAACAAGAATGGTTTTGTTAGACAAAGGGCCATTGCAATCAGGCCACCTATTTTTAGAGGTGCCGGCTACAAAGCCAGAGGGCCATTGCAATCAGACCACCTATTTTTATTACATTTTATCCGATTACCCGTAGTTGCTGCTTATACTTACATAGAACCACCCCACAATTTAAATACATTACTTGCAACTAATCTTGTAATTGAATTTAAGAAAACCAAAGCTCATAGTATATGCACCAATCCAATCCAGTTCAAACAATAATATCATATACTATCTTTTAAACATGTAACTTCAAAAAGTGAACTTACAGTTTTTCCAAAAGGTTATCAGTCATGTTAACTCGAAAGGAATCCTTGGCGTCGATCTGTTTCACTGCGCTCACCAACTTCTGAATCATCCGTGTTAAACTTGCATACCTGTTCATATTTCCACAATCAGCTAAAAACCAAATCAAAACAAAGAAAATTACCAAATGCCAGAACAATCATGATAATACTTTTTATAATCGTCGCGTTGAGTAATATGGTAGCGCTGCATAACCATATTCTCTCTGTGACCCTCTTCTCTCTTCCATTCCAAAAAATTCACCCTCCTCAAAAGCTTATTCTCATGATACTTTAGCTTCCTCATTGTTATTCACTGTCAAAACAAAGGCAATTTCACAAAAACTAAGTTTTTTTCGGAAAAGCGTAAGGTTAAACGAAAAGGAAGAACTGAAACTTTGAGATTAGAATAGAGCTTGGAAGTGATTGAAATGGAAGAAGAGAATGAGAAAGAGAACGTACCTTAGAGGGATGACGTTGGCGGAACGAGGATTGATGAAAACCAAAGGCAGATTTGGAAGCGTGGCATCAAGACAAAGAGGACAAAGGGATAATTTCGAAGAATGGAAGCTTCACCATTCTAGGCGCAACATCGTACTTCCGGCGGTGGTTCTTTACTTCAATCGGATAAAAAGCTCTTTCACAAAACCTAATCCTTTCAATTTTGTTTGTTACTCCTATTTTGTTTTTTTATATTTTTATTTGTTGTATTTTGTTTATAATTTAATAATAAATATTAGTTGCTGAAAATATTATGATATTGTGTTGATATTATGATATTGTGTTGCTGAAAAAAAGTGGGAAAGTAAAAGAATAAAAAAAAGTAGCGATATTGTGTTGATAATCTAAGATCTTTTTTAGTACTAGACATTAGATAATATATTTTAGGGTTCATAATTTGTAAATCTAAATTTTAATTTCATGTTATATTTGAATGTGTTAATGATGGATATAAAATCAAATTTATATAAATCTCAAAAAAAAATTGTTTTACCGCGACGGGTGTTTTACCGTCGTGCCCATGAGAATTTTTAAAGGTTTTGGGTGCGACGGTTGTTTTACCGTCGTGAAATGAATTTTAGGACGGATAATTTTACCGTCGTGAAAGATTTAAGGGTGCGACGGGTGCTTTACCGTCGTGATATGCCTTTTAGGACGGTTAATTTTACCGTCGTGACTAGTTGTTGGTGAAAAATCAATGTTAAAAGTGTTAAATGGGGGCCGACGGTTGTTTTACCGTCGTAATAATAATATTATGATGGTTAAATATACCGTCGCAAAATAAATATTAGGGACGGTTGGTGTCAACTGTCGTAAACACTGTCGCTATATGTCAATTACGACAGTTATCACATAACTGTCGCAATTTTTGTGTCGTTAAACACTAATTTTCTTGTAGTGTTGTTCCTTCTACACACACTCAACATACAAAATCAGACAAGCATACTTAAAGTATCCAACAACTCTATGAAGCAAATTACAAAGCATTGGAACTATGATCTTCAAGCTTGCTTAATTTATAATCCAACCTAGCCACAACATGTGATCTTGAAAATCCGATCAACCCTTATCTTAAAACCTTTTGCCTATAAATAGAGAGATCATTTGTAAGATAAAGGAGATGAACAAGCCCTCAAAACTCCTATACTCTCAAAAAACCAGAATTGTCCACAAAACCTCCATTTTTGAGCTTTGAAGTCCAAATGTTTGAATCTCTCATACCTTGCAAGTTTTACCCAAAAAAATCATCCAAATACTTCACATACATCATATAGAAGTTGTTCAAACACAAGAACAACTTCTGTAACATCATTATCACCATCTTTCAAACTAAAAAATGGTACTTTGCAACTTGACTTGTTTGGAGTGATTCAGCAACTTTCAACATAATGTGAGGACTGACATAACTTCAAGAAGGTCCAAAGAAGCTTAATCAATCACCACTTCGCACCCGGAAACATCCATACATGTTATAAAGCTTTCACTTCAAGAGGTAAGTTTTCTCAAACTGTGATATCCTTATCCATACATCATCTGCTTTCATTTTCAAAAGAATAAGACATGACAAATCGAGGCATAAACGTGCAAATATTCAAAAATTTCAAAAGAATGCTTCAGGGGCCCTGACACAGGCGGCCGTGTCACTGGACTCAGGTCGTGTCAAGGAGAAAACTTAACAAAAATGCAGGGTAGGGGCTGACACGGGTACCCGTGTCACACGACACAGCCCGTGTCAACTCAACTGGTTCAAAAACAGGCAGACAGGGGCTGACACGGGCGCCCGTGTCACATGGCACGGCCTGTGTCATTATCGCTGGACTGGAAAACATGTGCAAAGCCAGGAACAGGTCCTGACACGGCTCGTGTCAGCTCAGACATCAAATTTCCTAATTTTGAGATTTTTTAAGTTTACTTTGGACATATTGCATTACTTGGAGATGACCTAACACCATAATACCTTTTTTTTCTAAATGAAACATCAAAAATATTTTTCTAAACAATTAGTTTTCTTTTTAAGTTAACTTAGACCTAGGTTTTTCTTCAATTAAATTAACTACAAAACCTTTTCTATCAAAAAATCCTAAAAAACCATTTCTTTTCACTTTACATTTTCTTGCACATTTTACTATTTTGCATTATAAATTATGTAATTGTCAAAGCCTTGTAATAGTAATTAGGTTTATTTTCACTTGTCATCCCCATTTATAAATTTGTATCCCCCATCCCCTCAAGTATTGTAATAGCGTAGGACATTTAATTTCCACAATTTATCGCTTTCCATATTATTGCTATTAATTAGGGTTTGTATGGCAAGATTTTAAACCAAACAATAGACAATCCTAATTCAAGACAAATGAATGAAAACAAAAATACTTTGCACACTTGCACCTCTAGGGTTAACTCACACTTGTTGCCTCGGATAAAACATTCACGTCCCTCGAACATGGGGTACTTTAGTAAAGACCCTCGCTTACAAGATCGTAGTCCCTCGATGATCCTTCGATGTTACCTTTGGTAAACGATCTTAGTCCCTTACGACAAATTGCTAAGATATCCTACAATGTTTCCTTCTATGACTAATACGACGACCCACACCTGTCCCTTCACATCCAATGATAAGGCTTTCTACTAACTAATTGTAGAATAGCACTATCTAAAGGAGGCGGAGAAGAACAAATACTTTATTTTGAGTAGGTA